AGTCTCTGGGTTGAGACCTGTGTACAAGTAGCAGCTGAGTGAATTTTTGTTGGAAATCCTCATTCTTCCATGACTGTGTGGGGCAGGGCCCCTTTTTACTTTGGTTCTGGTATTTTTCTGAGACTCCTAAGTAAGGGAGGGAAAGATGGAACATAAAGGTATAGAATAGATTTGTTCATGTGTTCCTTCCTTCCTTCATTGAACAACTGTTTTATGCACCCACTCCAAGCTACACACTGTGCTGCCTTCTGATACTTGTATGTTCTTGCCACATCAGTGGAAGGAACATAGGCTCTGGGTGAGACGTCCCCAGCTCTAGTCTTGACTTGACCAAATCATATGTCCTGTGTGATTTTCCTTCATTCTGCCAAACACTCCTCTAGAAGCTGGGAATAAAGAGTGAACAAAACAAACATAGCTCTCTGTTCTCATTAAGCTCATGATGTGAGCTATTAGCCCCGCTGAGCCTCAGTGTTATCATCCGTAAACTCGGGATTATGATATCTCCTTGTACATGGTTATGTTAGAGTAAAGGAGATAATGGATGGTGTGGCACAGACAGGTGGTTCCTGACAGCAGCCCCTCTGCACCCACCATTGAAGCACAAGGCAAGAGTGTCCTTCCGTAAGCACCTGTTCTTGTCTGTCTGAGGGCTCTCTCTCAGCCCATAAGCAGGACAGGCCAGAAATGCTGAGTGGGTTAATGCTCCAGGGAAAGTGTTGCACCAATGACAGATGGCAGTTCCTTGGCCCCCAGGAGAGAGAACTCTGAGGTGTGTTCTACACAGTCTCTTAGAGATCTCCAGTGCACTGAATCTCAGTGGCTCACAGGGGTAACCTGCTCCACAATCCAGGTTATGTTGGTTTCCCCCTTCCTTGTATCCTCTTCCTTCTGATGTTCCAGGGAATGACTTTTTGAATAAGCCAACTACACTCCAACCTTGTCTCAGTGTCTGCTCTTGGGGAAACCACCTAGGCAGACAGGAAAGAGTTTTTTGGACTTTGAGATGCTGAGCACATGTCAGGGATTGTCCCCCAGGGAAGGATCTCAAGCTCACATCTTAGTCAGATTCTAAGTGGAATGACTGTTACAACCTTTCTTTCTCTCAAAATATTTTGAATGCCTCTCACTTCTCATCTTAGGTGAATTTTTGAGATGATATAAGTGACTAATCTGGTATCCTGAAGCCCAGTTCATTTTGGGAAAGAGTATGTGAGGTCAATTTTCACCTGTAGCTTGATGAGACTAAGGTATCATGGGGCCACCCCTACTTTTAAGACCATGATCTGTGCAACCACTTTAATGGTTTCCTGTGTGAACCTTTCTGGTAATGTGAATATCTAAAACTATCAGGAGGGCCATTCTGCGTTATAGCTCTGGCCCACCCCACTCAAGTTCCTGTGTCTGCCTTAGGTGCCAAGAGAGAACTTATGTCTTTTTGGTGCTATGTTCTTCCTAATATCCTAGTGTCAATGGATCTGTTAGCATGCCACATTTCTAAATCCTCTTGATTTAATAAAACTTTCAAAATCCTCCCCCTATCACCAATACCTCTAACAAGTTACCTTTTTAATATTACACTTTGAACCAGGGGTTTGCAAACTCTGGCCAAATTCAGCTGACCACCTGTTGTAAAACCTGTGACCTCAGAATGATTGTTACATTACTGAATGGTTGAAAAAAATCAAAAGAATAATAATATTTCATGACATGTGAAAATTATATAAAATTCAAGATTTAATGTCCATAATTAGTTTCATTGTAACACACCCATGCATATTTGTTTATGTAGTATATATGGCTGCTTGCAGGCTATCATGAAGAGCTGATCATTTACAATAGAGACAATATGGCTCACAAAGGTTAAAATATTTATTTTTGTGTCTTTAATCCAATAGTTTTGCTTATCTGCACTCTTCAATATCAAAATGCATACCATGTGGGTTTTGCACTTACTACAAAACACTTGTTGGGATATTGTTTTATTATTTTGCTCAAGTTTCTCACTTAAGAATTCCCTTAGAATCTAATAAAATGGTGGAATAGGAATTACCACTTGTTCCCCCCTACAAAAAACATTAGGTAGCTATGCATAAATACAAATAGCCTGGGGAGGGTTCAAGAGTCCAATTAAGAACTTAAAGCAACACAGTGGAACAAAAATGAAGAATAATTGGACAGAAAGGATTGCTGGGGAGACTGGCTTGAAATAGCTAGGAACAAAACAAAAGTGAGGTGGCTACCAGTATCAGCATTATAGTGGTGGGTGTTATTGTGGTGCCCAATGGCCTGACCTATAGAGGGATCCAGGAGTCTTTGCTGTCGAGGGCCTCAACCACTCACCCAACAGCCACGGACTCCCTTTAGCATCATAGAAGAGGAACCTGTAGTGTTCATCAGTTTGGACCCAAGTAGTCTGCCTTGCAGTGGACACTGACAGCTTTTGCCACCTAGAAAACTAACAGCCTTCTCCTCTGTGGACTTTCTGGGCAGAGAGATGCTGCTGCACTCATTACAGAAGGAGCTGCTATGTACTGCCCCGGGACCAGCCCCTTTCCCTCTAATTGTACATGCATGCCCTGGACCCCAGAGTCCTGGATGCACCATGTGTGCCTGTGCTTTACACGCTGGCTCTGCAGCTACTCTATGTGCACCTGCATGAGACACCCAATCCATTATACCGTGAGGGTGCCTGCAAGCAGGACCCAGTGCCAAGAGGGATCCTCTTGGTCATGATATCCTGTATGGGAGAAAAAGTGATGAAGAGTTCTGAAGCAGTCTTAGCCATTGAGGACCCCTAAAATCCTTCTGACACTGACCTCAGCTGATGGAGCTGCACAAGAATAACACTGGAACCTTCCCTCAAATCAGATCTGTCACACCCTGCCTAGCTGGCATGTACGCACCCATCCACAGGTAAGTGTCTTTCCCACCAAAATGAGTTTCTAAAGCCTGGAAGAAGTAATACTACATCAAATATGCAGACAGCAACATAAGGCTATATGTAACATGAAAAATCAAGGATATGATACCAGCTAAACAACACAGTAATTTTCCAGTAATGGACATCAAAGAAATGGAGATCTACAAATTGCTGGACAAAGAATGAAAAATAATTGTTTAAGGAAGATCAACTACAAGAAAACACAGCTAGACAACTCAATGAAATAAGGAAAACAATACATGAAGGAATTCAGAGGTTCAACAGAGAGATAGAAATCACAAGATCGAACCAAAAAGTAATTCTGAGAAATAGAGTGAATGAAATGAGAATTGTAATGGAAAGCATCAACAACAGACTTGACCAAGTAAAAGAAAGAATCAGTGATCTCAAAGACAGGTCATTTGAAATTTTCCAGTCAGGGGAGAAAAAAGTAAAAAGATGTTCTAAAAGGAGTGAAGAAAGCCTATGTGAAATACAGGACACCATGAAATAAAATAATATTCGCATTATGGGAGTTCCAGAAAGAGAAGAGAGATATATAAGGTTGGAAAAGTCATTTAAGGAAATCAAAGCTGAAATATTTTTAGAGCTGGGGATAGAGACGGACATTTAGGTGCGTGAAGCTCATAGGTTCTGATACAGATTCAATCCACCCAAAATACTTTACTTGTAGACATTATAATAAATCTGTCAAAAAT